AAAAAAAAAAAAACTGATACATTGAATGTCATCCTAGAGTCATGACACTTTTTTTAGATAAGATACACTTATTTTCAGTTTCACTTCCTGGTGTGGAGTTTCATTCTAATACATTTAAGAGGCACAGACGTTGTGTTACTATTCTTCCACATTTTAAAGAGTGAATGGTTTATTTGTTTATAATCTACAATGCTATCCAAACTTGGCTTATATGAACAAATTAACCTAATATCCAGAACACCTAATTTGGCAACAGAATTTGTTAGCTCTAGCAGGGATCATTAAGAGAAAAACATAATTAGAAATATGACTGTTTTTGTCCCTCATGAACAAGGTATTTCCTACTTGCATAATAAGTATATATACCTAATATTGGAATAACATTATATTATTATATATACTTACATATATATATATTTTAAATTAAAGTAAACATAAAGCTTATTTTCACTGAAGATAAAAGATTTTAAGTCCTATTTTAATCAGGATTATTGGGACTGCTCTAATAGTGAAATCAGTACCAAAAATATTTGATGGTGACAGCTTGGGCCTAAATTTTCATTTAATGACACATTCACCATAAATTCATAGTAACATTATCTTTTCAAGATATCTAAAATAAAACAATCACCCAAATTTTCAGCACCTAAATCTTAACTGGAATGGAGATTTTAGTCCAATGGTAAGTAAGTGCCCATAGTGCCACATACAAAAAAAAAAAGTCAGCTTTTTGCCTTACTCAATACCTCTGAAGAAATTTATACTTTAGTAGGAATAATTATGGCTAAGTTCAGACTGTGAGGTACAGATACACTTGCACCCTTCTGGAGGAGCCCATTAGAACACCTGAAGTGGTATATACACTTGGAAAACTTACCCCACATATTCATAAAGAACTTTGAATAGCAGGGATATTTATTTTGTTTAGAATTACTGACCTAGGTGATACGTCATGTTCATTTAAATCTAAGATGTCTTTGCATGAATGGTTTTCAGATGTGAACCTTAAGTCTAATAGATCCAACATCTTTGAAAATATGGATATATTTACAGATGCTATTTTGCATTACCCTTATTTTTAAAGAGATTTCTTAAGAAACTTCTGTTTGTCTTACATGTTATTTTCATTAGCAATAAGTAAAATATTCATAACTAAAAGTCACTTCTCAGTCAGAAGGTTATTTACAATAAAGTGATTGGCGTTGTCTGTCTCAGTTTCCTGCCTTGGTTACCTCATCTGTAGAATGGCAATTATAATATCATCAACTATACGGGATTTCTCACAGGTCCCCTCATACAACCAGGCTCTACCATTACAATTTTGCATAGAGCAATATTGAATGTCAGGCTTTGGGGATAATTTTTCCATGTGTGGAAATCATTTAAAATGAGAAGATTATCTATGTTTGTGGGATTATCTAGAGGAACTACTAGTTTAGAGTACAATAGAGTAGTTGGAGGATGCCACTGGTGATAATACCATATTAAATAATCTGGGTGTTCCCACAGAAAATAACTAAAAACTGTATAAGGTTTAACAAAAATAAGTAAGCATTTACCTAAAAGTAACTGTGATAAATTTTGTCAACCTGAGCAGCCATGGGGTGCCTAGATTAAACTTTATTCTTGAGTGTGTATGAAAGGATGTTTCCAGATAAGAATGGCATTTGAATCAGTGGACATGGCAACATAAACTGCCCTCCCAAATGTGGGTTGGTATTATCTAATCTGCTGAGGGCCTGATAGAACAAAAGAAGGAATTTGCCCTTTTTTTCTCTGTCTCACTGCTTGAGCTGAGATACCTCATTTCATCTTCTCCTGATTTTGGACTGCTGTTTATGCCATTAGCTCCCCAGATTCTCAAGCCTTCAGACTTGGAATGAATTATATCCTTGTCTTTTCTGGGTCTCCAGTTTGCAGGCAGCAGACAGTGGGATTTCTCAGCCTCTATAACCACATGAGACAGTCCTTCATGATGAACCTCCACATCTGGATCTATCTATCTGCCATGGTCTGACTGTTTGGAACCTTTGTGAGGTGCAAGGAACACTCATGAAGGGATTAGTGCCTTTATAAAAGAGGATCCAGAGAGGTTCCTTGCCTCTTCCATCTTGTTGAGGACACAGCAGCTAAGAAGCTCAAAGAGGACCCTCACTAAAGGCAACCATGCTGGTGGCTTGATCTTGGACTTCCAAGACTCCAGAACTGTGAGCAATACATTTCTGTTGTTTGTAAGCTACCCAGTCTGTGGTAATTTGTTATAGCAGCTCAAATGAATTAAGACCTCTCTCTCATCCTCATTACCATCATCTATCTACTTACCTTCCATTGAGTCAGTTTTTCTGGAGAACCCTAATACAGTTACAAGGAAGGCCTTAACTACTAGGAGAGAGATCAGAACCAAGGAGAGGACAGAAACTCTGAGAAGTGAGTGCAGTTTTTCCAGGAGAGTATTTGCTGATCCAGAGAGGAGTTGGCTGAAACTGAGCAGCCTTGAGGGACTGGGAGCCTTCTAGGGATAACGACCCTTCTAAACCACCCTCCTGTTTCAAGTCAAGAAAATCCATAAATTGCTCAATAGGAATAAGTGTGAACAGACATTCCATGTACTGGTGGCCCACTTCAGTGTCACCCGGGGGGCCCAGAAACCAACTAACCTGAAACTAGGGTTACATTTGCCCCTAGACTGCTAGCTACCCTAGGAGTCTGATGAAACACATACAGCTCTCTCTGAAGAACTATTTCTACAGATGGTTTTTCATTATAATGTTCAGTCAAACCAAACAACATCAAAGATAATTAGCAACATGAGGAGGTATGACACCCAGACTACAAAGCTAGCATAATTAATTAATAGGCGCAGAAACAGATCCACTACTAGACAAAAACAGCCACACTCATACTTCTACTGTTTAAGGAAATGGAAGTCAAACTTAAATATGACTACATAGAATGGGAAACTATGAAAAAATGGCTGAGAAGGTTTTTTAAAACAGCCGAATAGAAATTCAAGAACTGAAAGGTAAACTTGGTGACCTCCTAGGTATTTCTGATCTGTGTTCTGTGGTAAAGAAGCAGAAACATGGACATTTTAAAAATTGTGTGCACTTTTGACTCAGGTTAGAGGCTTGTGGCAGGGGAAAGGTTAGAAGCTTATCACTAAACGTCCTCTCCCTCACTTCAGTAGAATGTCTTAGCACTCCCCCAAATAGCTATTTGCCTCATAAATTAGTCTGTGCATAGTTCTGTGCTTCTGTTTAAAGTTTTGTTATCTTTACATTTTTTATTTCTCAGTAGTAGGAGCTTGCCTTCTGATGTTCCCTGGGAATACCTTACCTTATTAAGTTTCTAAAGAATACTTTTGCAAACCTAACAGTTTCTTACTTATAAAGCCCTGTGAAACAGACTTAGAAGGTACTATTATTCATGCCGTTTTCTGCACGAAGCAGCTAAAACCCTGAGAGGTTACGTGCTCATGAGCACGTAACTGAAGACTGGAGCTCCCACTAGAACACTAGTTCTTTGATTACTTACCCAGCGGGATTTTTACCCCCCTCTATGTTACCATAATAATCTAGACAAATATCTTTCTACTTTGTTGGTAACATTTCCAGTCATCCTACAATGACATGTTTCAAAGGTCCCTGTGTTTTTGCAGACAGCCACGCTAGCAGACCCATGTGGTTGACTGTCTCTACTGTGAAGACAACCTTAGTTTCCGTGGATGTGGGACAGTGGCCCTCCATTGCTAATAAGCAGTGGGAGGATGTGTGGATTTTTTGCAGTCTAGGGAAGTGACTCATCTATTCAGAGTAAAATAATGGCAATTTTTATAAGTACTTTATACTTGATCTATCCTTGTAAAATTGGTGTCTCCCTGGTCCAAAAGAATTTCAATAAATTCTGTAGACACAAATATCGTTCAGGTCGGAAAGCACTTAACAACAACTCTAGATGTATGGGAACTAAGTTCTTCTATACATATTTTACTTCATTTTGTACCACATTCTTAAAATCCAGCAGCACTGGAAGCGAGAGAACTTGCTAGCTGTAAATTGCTGTATCAACCCACGGAATTCTCTGACATGTCACTGCATCACAACTGTGTGAAAATAATTCCAATTTTCTGTGCCTTGAGGCAGCCAAAACTGGGTCAACCTGTCTGCATGGTTCATTATTACTTAGTTAGCTGGGCAAGTTTCCCCCATCTTTCCTTTTTACTAAAATTGTTCTGTGTTGAGTGTGCTCACTTATATGTCTTGAAAAATATCTTTCCATGAAAACTAGAGCAGGGCATTTTGTCACTAAAACAATTTGCACACACACATGCACATTTTTTTATTTTCATACACACAGCAAGAACACAAGGAATGGACAAAACTGTAAAGCTCTTAGGATTCTCTTCATTTAAAGGGGCTATAAATTGGAATACTGATTAAATGTTCAGTTCAAATGCTAAGAAAGGTGATGCAGACATGTGTTTTTTATATGCTTCATCAGATTAAGATGCCACATAGGTAATTACTATAGCTTAACTTTTTTTTTTTCCAGGGGAAAGCGCAAACGCAGTCCCCCACTACTGGAAATGATGCAGCCGAGTTCCCCACATTTGGGAAATCGCAGGGGTCAGCACACCCGGAGTGCAATGGATAAGCCTCGGCCTGGGAACACCACCTTTGTGATCACAGTATTGCCCCTGCCAGGTAAGTATAGCTTAAATTTTTACCTATAGTTAACAAAATTTTCAAAAAGATGGCACTAACAAATCTTAAAATATCCAGATGCAGTTTGATTTTTAAATATACTCTGCTATGTTAAAAGAAGAAACTGAAGGCCCAGTCTACAAGGTCAGCTAACAAGAGATGTGGGAATGGCACAGCAGTCAGTCACAAAGCCTGCTCAAATGAGGTAGAAGAGAGAAGGTCGTGTGAAATAACGATTTATTGTACATAATGAAATATATTTTCCTTCAATCATATTGAACTTTGTTCATGTTCTTAAATCATGTACTTTCTAACCTCCAGACTACTTCATATATGCTTTCTTTCCAATTCAGAAAAGTCATTTTCACTCTCTTCTAATTTCTACTGTACCTTTAGGTCCATGCTTACATCTCACTTCCTCTAGGAATTCTAGAAGGATTCTTGCTTTTACTTATTCATGCTGCATATTCCTAGAGCAATCTTCATTGTCTCTATCAGGGCTCTTACTAAGCATTATGGTAACTATAAAATTGTTCATTTTTCTACTAGACAGAAATTCAATTCAGGAACCGTTTGAGTCATCTGTGTACCCCCAGTGCTCACCGACAGGAACTGGTACAAAATGGGCATTCAATAAATGGTGATAAGTGCTCGGAAAAAAAATTGAAATAGAGTAAGAGGTAGAATGACTTGAAAGTCCAAATGTTAGGATTTAGAATTCTCATTGGCCTTTGTCTTGAGTTCAGGGTTACAGACCTTAACTTTATCTTCCTTCTTCTTTCTCAGTTCCAAGTGCCAAATTTCACATTAAAGTTCAAGAATTAACATTTTGATAAATTCTCTAAGAGAAATTACACACCTCTCTTCAGGTGGTAGGATGAGAAAAATTGATCTGCACATAAGATATAGAAACTTCATTATTATGAATAAACAACTGAAAAGATCTGACCTTCATCATTTAAATTCATCTAATAAAGCCATAATCATGAAAGGAAAATCAGATATTACCTCAGAAAACAAAGATTATCTCATTTTAAACTCTGATTATATGCTTTTTATAAGAATGACACTTTAAATATAAGGTGAAAGTAAAGGATGCATACACTAATCAAATAAACTAGAAGGGATTATATTAATAAAAGACAAAATAAAATTTAAAACGAACTCATTACTGGAATAAAAAAAGACCTTCCATAATAATAAATCATTAATTAAACAATAAAAATATATACAATTCAGAAGTTACATGCACTAATAACATATCTCCAAAATTCATAAAGCAAAAGTTGGATATGGAACATCCGACTGTTGTATATGAAACATTTATCAAAATAGACAATATGATAGACCATAACCATGTATAAATATATTATAAACAATGAAAAATCATACAGAGTATACTCTCTGAGCAGAGTAGAATTAGATTATAAATCAATGACAAAGACAGCTAAAAAAATTACCACGTTTGAAAATAAAGAAACACACGTCTAAGCAACCCATGTGTCGAGGAATAAAGCACAATGAAAGTTAGAAAATACTTTTGAGCAGTTATGAAAATACAACATTTCCAAACTTATGGGCTATACCCAAAGTACATGGTCAAAATCAGTAAAAATAAAGAGATAAACATTTAAAGATTAAAGGGGACAAAGTAAAACTGGCCTTATTCACAGGTAACTGGAATGTGTAAGTTGAAAATCCAAAAGAATCCACAAACTATTAGAATTAATAAAGAAATTCAGTAAGTTCACTGGATCTACAAAAATCAATTATACTTCCATATATACACAACAAGTAATTGGAAAATTACAGAGACATATAAAATGACACTAGAACACCGACTGCCAAGAAATACATGTAAAAAATATACAAAATATTTCTTACTGAAAACTGCAATACACAATTGAGAGAATTAAAGGTTATCTAAATAATATCAGTTTTCGATTAGATTCATGAGTTGTTAATGGATGGGAAGATTCAATAGTTTTATCATGTTGTCTCTCTCCTAACTGATCTATAGAATCATTGGAGTTCCAATAAAAATCCCAGCAATTGTGTGTGTATATGTATAAATCAACAAAATTCATTCCAGAATTTATACGGAAATGCAGAGGGCTGAAAATAGCCAAGGCAATCTTAAAGAAGAAAAACTTGGAGGATTTACATTACCATATATAAAGACACATTTCAAAGCTACAGAAATTAGTATAGGTTGGCATTGGGGCAAACAAACAGACCAAAGAACAGAATACAAATCAAGCCACACACAGGTGGTTGCCTGACTTACAGCAAAGGCACCATTGCCATTCAGTCAGGACATGAAAGTTATCAGTAGACAAGATAAACTCTGCCGTATATTCCAATCATGAAATGTTACATGCCAATGTAAAAGTATGGAATTCTTCTACTCATAACAACATGAATGAATCTCACAGATATAATGTTGAATGTAAGACATCTATATGAAGGTCAAGAACAGGCAAAACTTATCTATGGTTAAAAAGAGTCAAATTTTGGTTACCTTCATGGAGTTTATTGATGGGAAGGGATGCAAGCAACTTTTCTGGGATACTTCTAAACATTTTTATCTGTATGATGGTTTCATGGGTGGATACAGATGTTAAAATCCATCAAGCTGAACAACTAAGATTTACACACCATGTATGTTATACCACAATTTAAAAAAATGTCACACTGAAAGAGAAGCTTGCAAAGAAAACTGAGAAGTAACCAAGAGCAAGAAAACTCTTAAGAAACAGAACCAGAAAAAACTGACAAGGGTTTTAAGAAGAGAGGTGGGGATGGGGGATACTGAAGAGTCCATCGGATTCCGCACCAAGGAGGACCTTGAAGTCCTTGGTCCAAGAGCTGAGTCAGATTTCAGTGGTTCAAGCTGTGAATGGAGGGGAAGAAGGCACTACAAAGAATGACAGTGCATTAATCCTTGCTACATTGGCAGGGAAAGAGGATGGTAGCTCAAGAGGGGGAGGTAGGGTAAGAGAACAGTGTTTCATTTTAAGTAAAAATGAGGCTGTGGATTATTCTTTCATATCCATAAAAAACTACTTCTAGTCTGTATAAACCTAACTGGATCTCAAGTGTTGAAAACAGCAAAACATCTCTATTTTTTTTTATGAGAAAAAGAGAGTGTATTCTTCCAATGGAGTTTGGAAAATTACATACTAAAATTGGAATTACTCAACTCTTTGCTAAGAATGAACCACCCATAGAAGAGTTCGTTTCAACTATCTTAGAGAAAGTTTACAGAATTAATTACCCTGGAAATGTATACCATAATATAACCCTCAATTCACGAGTTCGTTTATCTTCTTTCCATCAAATCCCATGAAGGGTATGACTTAATGCAGGCAGATTACTGCTAAGTGATAACTATATTATTTATTGTTCCATGAAAGTTAATGTTCAGTACTGTTACAGATGTTGGCATTTTTTTCCTACCAAGTACCTCTTTTCCAGAAACTTACAGTGATTAAAAAAAGAAATTGGTTAATTTTATTATGTTTTGTTTGTACCACATTGAGTTCATATGAATTTCATAGAAAATCCAGAATTTGTCATAAATTTTATATTACTAGCAACACTAGAAATACTCATGCACAGAAATATATTGCCTCCCTCCCAGAAGGAATATATAAACAATAAATGACTTACTATAATGTGCTGATAAGGATCTATAAATGACATTTTGGTTTCAATTACAGGAAATCTCTTCACACTTCAAAGGTCTTCTCTGGCACTCTAGCTTCCTTAAAACCTACAAAATAAACAATCACTATTGTTAAGCTTTCTCTTAGATGCAGTTCCAAGATTTAAATGATGATGAGTATAAATCTTAGGAAGAAAGTCTACTCAAGGGCACCAGATAGACTTAGTTTCCTAATAGTTTATATGAGTGAGTATATGCCCATAACTTAGGGAAAAGGTAAACATTTTGATAGAACTGTTTAATTTCCATATTTATTTGTTCAAATTTATTCTCTGAGCAATTAATAGGAAGTTTCAGGATATTCTTTTTTTGCATTTGCCAAGTATTTTTGAGAAATTCATTGAAATTACGGAAAATTAAAATTATTTTTGGACTGTTTATAATTAAAAAGCTGTGTTTATAATTAAAATATGTCAGTGTTTGTTTTCTCAACTGGGACACTATTACACAGATTCACAATAAGAAGGAAAATGTTTCACCTTAACTATTTGTTAAGAAGTTTAGCAATATATTCATGTTAAATTTCAACTTTAGTGCTCACAGTGTAAAAGAAATGTTTGTTCATTCTAAGGTAACAGCTTAATTTGGAAGTAGTTAAATAAAAAATATTTTGAAAGAAAAATACTCCCATACTTTGCCTTTTTTTCCTATAATTACTCTATATTATTTAAAATCAAATAAAAAAACTACTCAGTGAATATCTTTGTTACTCCATCATAGATTTTTTAGGACTTAATTAAATAACACATTATTTTAACCTTATGTACTCACATATTATTTGGAACATCTTTTTAAATATCTTTATTATTTATGATTAATATGTAAATTCTAAAATGTTTTTATTTCAGAATAAATAAAATTTGTCTTAAATTTAAGTGCTTTTCTCTTTAAACACATTTTAAAAATATATAAGAAATTATTTATGCTCATTGTCACAAACATGAACTACAGAGATGAATAAACAATAAGGTATAATCACTATTTTCATTTTGACTTGTATCTTCTCAGACTATATCTATGCATATTCATAAACTTAGTATAAAAGGGAAAGGAAAAAATACGAATATTTTTCTTACATCAATAGGATTTCATAATGTGCTCAAGATTTTCTAAAACTCACTTCTTTCATCATTTTCTCCAAAGCAAAAAGAATAGTATTTCTTTATTTTTAAAGACTATTTTTTACAGCAGTTTTAGGTTCACATCAAAACTGAGATGAAAGAACAGAAGTTCACCATATCTCCACAGCCCCCGCACATGTACAGTCTCTCCCATTACCAATAACCCCACCCCAGTGGGAGGTTTGTTACAATTGATGAACCTCCTATGACGTATCATCCCCCAGAGTCCACAGTTACCTAAGGGTTCACTCTTGGGGTTGGACTTTCTATAGGTTTTGACAAATATATGATATGTATCCATCATTATACTATCATGAGAGTATTTTCATTGCCCTAAAAATCCTTCGTTCCATCTGTTCTTCCCTCCCTATCTCCCAAGCTCTGGCAACCACCTATCTTTCTATTATCGCCATAGTTTTACCTTTTCCAGGAAGTTGCATACAGTATGGTGCATTTTCAGATGGGCTTCTTTCACTTAGTAATAAGCATCTAACTTAGCTCCATTTCAAGGCTTGTAACTCATTTCCTTTTAATGATGAATAATATTCCATTATCTGGATGTACCACAGTTTATTGATCTATTCACCTACTGAAGGACATTTTGGTGGCTTCCAAATTTTGGCAATTGTAAATATAGCTGCTATAAACATCTGTGTGCAAGTTTTTCTGGGTATCTAAGTTTTCAACTCCTTTGGCTAAATACCAAAGAGTATGATTGCTGGTTCATATGGTAACAGGATGTTTAGACACCAAACTGTCTTCCAAAGTGTCTGTGCCATTTTGCATTCCTACCAGCAATATATGACAGTTCTGTCGCTCCATATCCACACCAGCACTGGAAGTCGTCAGCACTCTACACTTTGGCCATTCCAATCAGTGTGTAGTGGTGTCTCATCGTTGTTTCAATTTGCCTTTCCCTGATGGCGTATGATGTGAAGCTTCTTCCATATGCTTATTTCCCATCTATACATGTTCTCTGAAGAGGTGTCATGGGGTTGTTTGCTTTCTTATTGTTGAGTTTTAAGAATTCTTTGTGCATTTCGGATAACAGCCACTTATCAGACACGTCTTTTGCAAATATTTTCTTCCACTCTGCCTTCTTCATTTTTTAATGTGAAACAATATGAAGCAATATTGTAACAAAGGTAAAAAATCATCCATAGTCCCCTATTTAAAAATTATATACAAAGAGAATCCCCCTTCCTCATTCTGGCTCACCAAGATCATTATTTTTATTGGGAAGAAAAACTTTTTAAATTAAAACATTCATTAATTTTAATCACTCCTTGAGTTCCTAGAGCTTAATTATATTTACCTTCTCATAGTGCATTGTCATCGGGTCCATATTATTTTAATGGCACGACCCTTGCTTTCCTGTTTATTGCCATGTAACATCTACTATATAGTTTACATTGTGTTTTTGTCTATCTTTCCTCCCCCTTACTGAGAATATAACATCCATGAAGGCAGATGTTTTTCATATCTCATTCTTTGTAATATTCCCAGCCCCTAGGTAAGTGCACATGACCAGTTAACACATATTTGTTGAATGAATGAATGGATGAATATATTTATACAAGAGGAACAATTTTCAAGACTAGTTAAACTAATATTTTAACCAAGTAAAAGAAAGTTCATTTGCCATTCATTCATAAACAGTATTATCCTCATCTCTATATTCTACGTCATCTGTCAGTTCATCAATGCTATATGAGTTTCTTTTACCTCTACTGTTTTCCCTTAAGTACCCTCATCTTACAAACATCATACAAACATGATTGTTCATTTATCACCATAATACACTGTGCCTTTGATTAGCTCTAAGTAGTCTCACTACATTTCATATTAAAGGAATGACAGTATAAGAAGATACAGATAAAGCTGCGATAGGATACATTGTGACTCTGGCATTTGTATTTGAATTTATAATATGAGAAATCATATTTACATCAGATGGTATGATCCTAAGTATTTAGTACTCCCCATCATCAGGGTTTTCTGAGATATAGCCATTACATCTTGTTTAAAATAATGAGCAATGACTAAGCTTACCAGGATAGCTGCTGATTTTATATGATTAAATTCAAGATATGCTCACATCAGTTACCACATCAGAGAACAGCTTACATTCTAGAGTGGCTGGTGGGACATATTCTTACAGATGATACGGCATGAATATCACTTGCCCCATTTTCATTCTAAGCATCTATATTTCCCTTAAGTCATTACCCCTCAGAAGTGAAGTAATTTCTTAATATGAATCCTTCTTTAAAGCACATGACAGGCCACATAAAGCTCCTGGGTCCAAGAGGTCAAGGCCTTTAAGTTGCTGCAATAGTAGTAATCCCAAGAGGTCCATCCTCCTTTTCCAGCAGCTGAAAAGACATGGCAGTTGCAGGGCGATGCCCCAGCACTGCTACCAGGGATTCAATGCCTGAGGGGAAATCACATTGTTTTCTTCACTGAAGTAGCATAATTTGCTGAAAACACTACTGCATATGGAATCAGAGACCTTGATTCTAAGTCCAGTTTCTCATTCTAAGAGCCATAAATGTGAAGAGCCATAAATTGTGAACAACACATCTTAAATGTTCCAGCAAGGACTGAGCTAATTAATGTGAAAGGTGCCTGTCCCACTGTAAATACTCAGGGCATCCAAGTTCCCCTTTTAAGGCTGAGTTTACATGGGACCACCGCTAATAACTACGCACTTACTCCAAAAGATACACTGTCAGTTGGATTTATTGTTGTGAGTGGAAAATAAGAAACCCATGATGGATTCATCATTCAACAAACAAGTACAACATACTACAATAGGTGCTAGGGAGTAAATGGTGAGCCAGATCATTTGTGTATTATGAAAGTGTGGCCCTATAGACTCTACTTGATACTATCCATGGCAACCTTGAAATGTAAACAGGATTCTCGTAGTTATTCTCACCAAAATTTCCCATGTTAAAAACTACTAACGACAGGACCACAGCAGAACATATCCTGGGATCTACAGGCTTTCCCTTCACAAGCTAGAGCTTCTTCACACAGGAGGTCATCTACCTAGTCTGTTCTAAGCACTGGGAATGCAATTGTACACAAAGCATAGCTTCTGCTTTCAATAAGCATAATAAGGTAATCTAGGGGAGGCAAGAAATGCAGCCTAGCTCAGTACTTCATGCTCACATGTTGCTAAAAGTAGTAACACTTTCAGTGTTTAATGTCTACAGTTGGAAGGGAATCTTGAAACCTATTCCTCTGTAAAAATATCTCCAATGATTTTCTATTTTTTAGCACAAAGTTATGAATCCTACAACATGGTCTAGATTTACTGCAAATCAAAGCAGGAAACCATTTTACATCACAATATAATACACAAATATATATACACACACGTGAATAAAATAAGGAAGCAAATTTAGTGCGACAGTTTTACTAAGAACAATACATCCTGATTTTTATTATATTTCATTCGTTGAAATCTGGTAGCAGCTCACTAAACTGATTTCATGACCCACTAACAGAAGTTTGAAAATACTGTCTAAAAGACTTCAAGATTGGACTTCTACCTACTTCCTTTGTCTAATATCACCACTCTCCCCTTTTCTTTCTATGTTACAGCCATATCGTTTTCTTCAATTGTGTCATATTTTTGTCCACTTGGGACTATAACCTACCTCTTTTCTTCATCCATTTATCCAACATATTTAAGGCATAACTACTATGTGTCAAGTATTGTTCCAGGGTCTGGAGAGACAAGAGGGAATGGATTAGACACACTCTCTGTCCTCCTGGAGCTTACATTTCTAGAGGGTAATTAGAAAATGAATAATCCAAGAAATGAATGAAATGATTAAAAATGGAAATGCATAAAATGATGGAAACAAGCAAAAAGTGGAACTAGAGAATGACCTGAGGTCTGGTTTCTGGAAAGGA